TAATTTCGCATAAAAAACATTTGATAAATTAATACAGAAAATTATTTTAAGTCGTACATTGATTGTCCATTTAATGATCATCACTTGACAACTTTAAGCAAATTAGCTATGGCATCACAAAGGCCCACCAGCGGCCGAGTGGTAAAATCACTGAACACTGGTAGTTCGGTCCGAGGTTCGAATCCCACGAACAGGCTGGCTGCATGGGCGTTTTCGTGGTTTTCCTCATGTGTAACGTGTATACGAGCCAGTTTACCATAGAAAGTCCTCCACGAAGGCATCCCTCCTCTTAGGCAGATAGCCCTAGTGTGCTTTGCCGTATTCTCAATACACCAACTATGGCATCACACTAGACTAGAATAATACAGAAAAAATTAAGTTTCTGAGACAGCAGTATAAGTGAATTGTTTGTGAATAAAGCAGGGCAAAACGGAATTTGGCAGACTTTGAAAGTGGGATGATTGTAAGAGCCACAGAACATGTATGAGCAAACTGATACATTTATGAAATGTTCAAGAGAGCAGCTGTAGTTAAAGATCGGATTATCAGTAAACAATGTGTCTCGGCATGCAGCTTGTGGTCATCATCGGCTGATGAAAGCTCAGACACACTTCTAAAAAACAACAGAAAGTTAAGAATGCAGTAAACTGCAGCAGATCTCAATGAAGGATTGTCTCAAAGAATCTCTCAATGCACTTTGTCATTCAAAGCATCGTACGGCATATGGAAGCTGAAAACCAATTCAAACATCATTGCTGTCTGCAGCTAACAATATAAAACATCTCTAATTCAACCAGAAGCACAAAGATTACATAGAAGTTAATTGGAAACAAGTTATGTGGGCTGATTAATCACATTATCAATCACATCATGCAAATAGGCGAATGAGAATTTAGCAGAAGCAACAAGAAAGTATGGATGTTAAGTGCATTTCTACAACTCTCAAGCTGGTGAAAGCAATATGGTACTTTGGGGAATATTTTCCTGGCATCCTTTGAGCCTTTTAATTCATATTCATGAATGTTTGAATAAGACATCATGTCTAAACATCAAACCAAAAGCAGGGTGGTTATGAAAAACTTCCCTATTATATAAATCTTTAGAAGTATATCCATTCAACCAATCAAAATGAATTTCCCGATATTGATATCTGAAGGTATGTGCTTAAGATTGTTATGATTTAAAACAATAGAGCTCTCCATCGTTATTGTTACAGAGAAAAAATTTTGAAATGTTCGAATGACGGCACCTGCTTTTTCGTGTGCAAATTAATCAACACATTGAAAAATCATAAATGACCTGGGATTGATACACATATGACAAAAATTGGTGGCATAAAATATTTGCAATAAAAAGTATTATAAGGGACCAATTACAACACAAGAGAGGGGTGGGAAACTTTTATTGAAATTTCAGATTTCCAATGTACCCACATTCACAGAAGAAAATGCATTGCAAGCGAAAGATTGTTGACAACATTGCAAAGGAATTTATAGAACTTCATGTTTTATGGCATCTTTCAATTCTGGCAAATCTTGTGAATTTAATGTGTACAGCTTAGATATCAGATAACCCCAGGACCAGGAAAAATACATCAGAGTGGGGTCAGGGGTTTGCGGTGGCCATGAAAGTGCAAAATTACAGAAGACAACTCTATGTCAAAAAGTGCTGTTGAAGCACTTGCTGAACACATGTGAAGATATGTGCAGTTTTTTTTTTTTTTGTTTTGTTTTGTTTTTTGTTTTTAGCAACAATAATATTAAGTATATCGAAAGAAATTCATTTAAAACAAAGCATACAGGTAAAAAAGTGCTGTGTTGTCTTGTTGCCCAGATGTCAAAATGTCTACGAAAGGCCTTGAATAATAAATGCTTAGTTTAACTTATTTGTTACATTATTTAACACATTTACTGCTAAAGCTATTGGGTCATCCATAAATTTGTGTGCATTTTTTGGTAAATTTTTAAATAACATAAAAAAACACAATTTAACATTTTAATCAATTATATATTTTCTCCTCCATTATCTACAATGTCTCACCATCTTACAGGCAGCTTTTTTATGCCCTAGCTGTAGAAAGACTCTGTAGGTTTTGATGCAAAAAATATTCTAAAGTTCATTGTGTACATCCTGTTTAGAATTTAATTTTTTTCCCAGTAAAAAATTTTGTAAGGCACAAACGAAATAAGTGAAAATCACTTGGGGCAATATCTGGGGAGTAAGCAGGATGTGACAAAAGCTCCCAATTATATTCACTAATTTTTTGCAGCATTGTTTGAGTTGTATGTGGTCTAGTGTTATCATGATGAAACAACACTTTCTTGATATTTATCAATCATGTGCATTTTTTGATCAATTCTGAGTTTAGACGGCAAAGTTGTTAACTATAAACTTCTGAATTAATCATTTGATTTGGTTCTAACAGTTCAAAACGTCCTGAACGGTGTTCATCATCAATGCTGCTTTTTCCAACTTTAAATTTTTAAACCATTTCTTTGCAGTCCTTACACTAATAGTGTGTTCACCATGTACACTATTAATTTTTATCGCTGCTAACCTGCCAGATTCACCACACAAAAATAAAAAATGTAGCACAGCATGTTTGTACTGATTATCTATATTCATCTTCTATGGGTACTAAAATGCGTTCGATATTTTCGAAAATTGGTGATGAATTGAATAATATTTATTCAAACGATGACAAGTTTCAACAAGTTCAAAATTTTATTGTTTTAGTAAATGCATCATAGTGAATTCCACGCATACTCTTAATGTACATGAACTTATGGACTGACCCTATAATATACACTGGTGTGCAAAAATTAAGGACGAGACGGTTTTTTCAATATAACTTTGTACAAAAACTTTCCAAATCAACACATTTAATACCGTAAGATCCCCAATACGTAAGGACATGAGTAATGTAAGCAACACTACTAAAAGAGAAACAGAGATAAAAAGAAGCTTTATTGAAAAAGTAGCATGGAGCGCAATGCGACTGAAGGCTGAAACATCCCTGTGATGGGTGTTCAGCAAGAAACATCCGGTCTTTAATAGGGGATATGATCTCCCCTGACTGCTAAGCAGGTTTCACAGCATCTGTCCATGCTGAGAATGAGGGTGTCAATGAGTTGTTGAGGCATTGCTGCCCATTCGTCTTGCAGCGCCAATCAAAGCTCTGGAATCGTTACTGGTGGTAAAGTACGAGCTGCCAAGCATCTGCCTAGAAAATCCCATACATGCTCGATGGGATTGAGATCCGGAGATCGTGCCGTGCCAATCCATACGTTCAATATCCTCACTCTCTAAGAGCTGTTCGGCAGCTACTGTGCGATGACATGGTGCATTGTCGTCCATGAAAAGGAACTGCAGACCCATAGCGCCTCTAAAAAGACGCACATATGGAAGAAGAATCTCGTTACAATAATGGGTCCCATTCACTGAACCTGCATCGAAGATGTGAAGGTCTGTACGACTACCAAGCATGATGCCTCCCCAAACGAGAACACCACAACCTTCATACCTGTCCCTTTCAATGATGTTCGAGGGATGATTGCGGCTTCCCCACTCTCTCCAGATGAGTATGCGATGAGAATCGCTACTCAGATTGAATCTGCTCTCATCTGTAAAGAGTACTCGTCCCCATTCATTGTCTCTCTCCAATTCCGGTGTTCCAGGCACCACAGAGAACGCCTCTCCCGATGGGCAGGCATTAGAGGTACACACCGTACAGGGCGTCGTGCCAAACAGACCACCACTGTGCAGTCTTCTGGCCACGGTAAAACGCGATTATCGGTCGTCCAGTCGCCTGTGTCGTGTGTCTAGCGATTTCTCCCGCTGTCTGCCGCCTGTTTTCTTTGGCCTGTAAGGATATATACCGGTCATCTGCGGGGGTGGGTTCCTCGTGGACGACCACTACTAAACCCCCGGATAGCTGTTCCTGTAGTTTTGAAATTGTCTCCAAAGTCGTGATGAAAACATGCTGTGAGCAATTAACGATCTGCAGCCACACTTGTCATACTGCGGCCTTCCTCCAACTTCCCAAGGATTCGACCTCAGGTAAAAGCATCCAGATGTCGTCTAACAGATTGATTATTCGCCATTTCTCGCTGAGGCAGCAACTCGATGTGATTTTAACTGCTATACGCCGTGCAATCTCTTTGCCAGAAATACTGATTTTACACCGACAACATGCTTTATACTACTCAGGCACTCCCCCATTACGTATACCTGCATATCTGCGCATGTGCTACCGTACATCACCTTACTTAATCTCCTGATTGGTCTTTCTGTCCGTTGTGCCTCTTCATTCAGCTGATATGCTAATTTTTCGACTTCGTCCTTAACTTTTGCACACCAGTGTAGTACATCCATTTACCCATGCCAAGATTCTATTTCACTTTTTCTGCTTTCAAATTATTTCCTGTTGTTTTATTACTTAGATATAACAGATTGCTTTTTACTGAAAATAAATTCAAACAAGTACACTCATAGTTGATATATGAAATAATATTTGTATTTACTGTGGCAACTACAAAATAGCTCAGAACTAGATAACGAATACTCACTCATTCTGCACATTCACACAGAGCTTCTGCACATGCAATATGTTATTTCCCATCATTCTTACATGAGCCACTGAACAAGAATTTGAGAAGTCTGTTTATAAAATTTCTCAAGTGAATAAATAAATAGAACATTTTACAATCCAATGTTTAGTTAGTGTATTTACATTTTGAGAAATAAATTATGCATTTCAGTATACCAAGTACATTATTCAATGCTTTCTAGTACATCAAACATCTAAACATTGCATGTACTTGCTACAGCAATGCTCATACTCAGTGATTCAGGTAAGGTATAGGTGACTCAGTGATTCAGGTAAGGACAAGGTGGTCAATAATGAGTTATCTCCTATTAGGCAAGTTAATTTAGTCTGCTACCTGCATTCTCTCAGATGGCAGCAAATGTGTTAATCTTAAATGTACTGCAAAGCAGCTTAATAAATGCAACAAAAGAAAAATAATATTTATTTATTTTTTAAATAAAGTACAGAATATAACATTATGTATATATAACATTAACAAGTAAACTTATTAATTGAATGTAGTATCTTAAAATGGGCTTTACAGCATCTTCTAAATGAAATTAATAGAGCACCATACTGATATGACTTTAAAAAGAAAAGTTCTCTTTACATGCAAAGAGAGACACTGAAAGGGTAGATCTGATTTATTAAGTAACAGTGAAGCATAATTCACTTTTCACACTTTTTTTATAGTTCTTTGTAGTAATTGCATTTCTTTGTAGTTCAAATGTGCATAGCTCAGCAGAAACCAAATTGAAAATAATTGCTTTTACTTTTCAAAACAGAAATCAATCATTTAGTAATATTATTTTGCATTTTAAATCAAAAGATCATTTGTCTCGTAATAATTTTTCCAGATTAATAATAGGAGCTTCAAATGTAACACTGATGAGAAAACCAATTCCATATGATATAAAGAGAAAAGCAAGGTAATATACAACCTGAAAAACAAAAATGAATGCTACATAAGCTTTATAAAATTATATGATGAACAATTTCTCTTTAAACATGATTAAAATAAAGGGAAAGGGAAAAAAGAAAAATTGTTAAACATGAATTATTTCAACTACAAGAACTCTCATCTAATTCAAATTTTGCAAGATTATATATTTTAAATGGCAGAAAGCTAGAAAAGTAAATGCAGAGTATATGTTAAAAACATTAGTGTTATATTAAACTTCAGCACAAAAGTGAGAATAAAGTAACTTAATAATGTAAAAACTGTTTTTAAAATGTCATTTAAATTATACACATATTCTAATTTATCTGAAACAGTTGACAAAAAAGAAAATGTAGCCTAGAGAAAGAAGAAAAGCTATACATATAAATGGCCTGATGTGATAATACATTTGATTTTAAGTACTGCCTTAGCCTTCCAAAGATAAGCAGAATGAGGAAAAATATTATTAGAAAAATCTTCCAGTTTCTATAGACAGAAAGAAGAATATCAGTCTTAGTTACCAAAACTTCCAAAATATCTAGAAAAGGCAGTGCCAATTATAAAGCTGCAAATGATAAAATGGGCAAAACTATGATGATACCCAAAATATGACAAAACTTCTGGATACTTGGAAATTCACATCTTAAAAAATTTAATTACTTTGCCTGAAATCTAGCAGTAGACTGAAACATGTAAATATCCCCTTTCCCCAATAAAAGCTCAAAATGCAATTTAGAATTATTTAGTTTGAGTACTAATAATGGAATAAACTTTTAAATCTTATTAACTAGCAGGGTGAAGATATTTGACTATAAAATCTAAGTAACAATGAAAGCACTACAACAGATCAACTTCTTTTTCCCTGACTGGATAGAGGGATTGAACATACAATTTTCATTCTGCCACTACATTCTTGAATTAGTTATAACCTGGCAACCAAAAATAATGAGTGGGTCTGTTTTCTATTTTCCACTTCCTTATTTATTTTTATAAGGAATTTAGAAATCTAATAAAAATGAAATATCAAAGTTAAATAACATGATAATTTTCAATGGAAAATAGTTCTTAATCATACTTTATGATTTCTTTTAATTAAAAACGCATTTAACTTGGTAGCAGCATCAACTACAGACTCAATAAAGTATTGTTACCTTGTTTTAAATAATTTAATTTGTCATTTATTTTTATTATGTTCAAATCACAAGAGTAATTTTTTTAATTTTTAAAGAGTAAAACAGCTGAATACTGTAAAGGAAAAGGTCACAAATACAAAGTGAAGAGAAAATACAATGATGGAATACAAGCAGACTGTTAAGAAATTGATCTTGCTTTAATTATCTGTTACGTGTGCATGTGCACTTTACATGTGCGTAGGGCAAAAAATCAAACTCACAAAATTTTGTAAAATTTCAAAGTTGAAAAAAGTTTCAAAGTTTTTTAAAAAAAAAATTCTGAACATTTAAATCTTACTCTCTTATATAAATGAAACTCATTTTAATATATGTGTTTGCACTCAAAGTAAGACAATGTTCAATTAAGTTTGTCTGCAGCATAAGATAAACAAGAATGTACTCATACCATATTTGCATGGGTAAAATAGACAGGTACTTTCTGTGATAAGAAAAACCAGCTCATCACAGTGGGATGGAAAAGATACACACAGTATGTCACACGACTAAGAGGAATCCATGCATTATAAGATAGCACAGAATTGACAATTCCTACAAGAGACATTAAAAAAAAATAAATATATAATTTATAATAAGAGTCCAGAGAATTTAGACCCAAATAATCTGTATTAGGTATATTATATATGGGAGAATATAGACACATCATTTATTAATAAATATTATCTATTAATTGGATACATTAGAAATTATAAATATTTAAAATTAGAACATTTAAGTATAATATTAAAATAAAATTAAATTGAACGTGACCATCCAGAGTGTTGACCACAGGTTACCAGTAAGTTGATAGTCGCTTGTGGTAGCATAGTGATGAACTTAGTTAAATTAAATCGAATACGTCGGTGCTCATTAAAGCCACTAATCAGGCTGAATGTCACAGAATCACAGATATCAATATTTATGTCATCGGTATGAGGTATACATATGTAAATTAAAATTAAATTCAAGCACAGTAGTGCTTGCTAAGGATGTTGGCCATCACTGACCTACAGGTTGACGATCACTGTTAGATGAACTAATAAGTCACCAGTAAGAGGTAGAAAAGTAAATTCAGATAAATTTTTAAATTGAAATGAAGTGAGCACCAAGAATCACCAGGCTGGCCATTGGCGCTTGTCACCAAGAGTCAGCCTCTTCATATCCACTTTCAAACAACTACAGGTAAACAGATTGCTTTAAAATTCTAAATTTATATGCATATTAAATTAAAATGAAACCATCTATTTTTTAATAAAAATGGTGCTTTGACTTATATTTATTTATCAATTTATTTATAGAGCTTCTAAATAGTCTCTCCCTGCTCCACACACACTTTGTTTATTATTTTTTGTTCATGAAGTCTGAGTGCAATTATTCCGATTTTCTTTCCGCAAACACAGAAACATTGAATGTACATAACTAGCAATAGGAAATTTTATTTTTTTGTTCAGTTACTATGCATAGGAAATTTTCTAGGCTACAGAAAGTTTTGTTTTTCTAAGCGGTGAAATTAAGACGTTCTACACCTAACAAAAAATAGAATTAAAATAAAATACCTTAACTACATTACTAGAGCATATATACAAACTTAGAGTGCACTTAGAGAAAAAATGAAATATCATTTCAAATAAAAAAATACTGTTTTTAAAACATTTTTTTTTTTTCAAATACATCTTCTATGCTAAAACTTTTTTTTTTTTTTTTTTTTTTCGAAATCCAATTAAAAAAAAAATTGTGCATTAAATATATTGAATTTTGAAAAATACTTTTTTATGGATTATCAATATCTGAAATTCACACAAGCATTGAAGCATAATTTTCATTCATATTAAATGAATATATCGATATAAGCATGCTCACGTAAATACAAATTGTAACTCTTAAAAAATCTGGTCACAGACAAACCACAGAAAATGATTGAAAACAGAAATCAACTTGTAAAGGAAATCCTATGTCCAACGACTAATGTCACTAGTTCATTCCATACATACATATTTATATATCACATCAAATGTAGAGAAAAAATTGAAAATAGGAAGGAATACATTTATCAGTGCTACTAAATAAAGTTTACATTGTTTCATACTCTAATATGAATCAAAAAGCTAAAAATAATGTTGTAATATAAACCTAAATCTGTATCTGCATCTCAAAATTCATCAGGGTCAGAAGAATTTCTGCCGGACCATATGTATTTTTAGAGTATATATCTTCATCATCACCTCCTTAATCAGTAAGTACTGGCACTAGCAATCCAGGAACAAAGGATTCAGATCATTAAAATAAATTTGCCATATTGAAATGAGCATGGCAATTGGAAAAGAGGGCTGAATAACCCTTTTCAAATATTATTCCAATGCAGCTAGCATTTTGTGGGAATTCCTGAGACCATATGCACAAATATACAGCTGATTCATACAAATAAAATATGCTATTAACATAAGTTTCTCTTTGCAACTAAGTATGCAAATTCATTCACAAACTTTCATTACTTTCCTTATCAACCCTTAGCCTTTCGTTGCAATCTGATAATGATCTAATTCTGATACTTTTCAAAACTTTTTTTCTCTTTTAATTTATTGCAACAAGAAACAATTTATCTATTTACAAGAAATTTTGAAATCTTTTGTTTAAGACATGCACATTTCACAATCTAGCCCTATAGGATTCACAGAATATTGTTACGGATATTTCTTTATTTTAATTAACTTGTTTTTAAAGTACAGATGAAGATTTATATCTGCATTTGTTAATATTAGCGCCATCTCTTGCATCTTGATCTCTTTGTGGAAATCTCCAAAGGTTAAAATAGAGCTGAAAATAAGAAATTAATAGTACAGTTAAAACTAAAAATGTTGCAGTGTAAACAAATTGTGAACACTGAGGGTTATTAACAATGCCTACATGTGGCACAGTTAGTAGCAGACTAGTAACGGCATTTTCACACAACTCAGCAACAGATAAGAGAGGTTGTAATTTAAAACTCAAAAGAAAGGAGGTAGAGACTAGAAAAGTCAGTCACTGGCAGTCCTTTTATTTTGCTCAGACATTCTTAATATATTCCTATATGCAATTCTCATATTCAACAAACACAAAGCCAAATGACTATTAATGAATATTTGTAGAAACAGCAACACATAGTTTGAATTATTGAACAGAGTGACAGTTTAAGACATGAAATCTTGGTATACTTGTACAGGGTTCATAGCCACATTTTAGTCAAAAAAATAAGCACCTATAAGCACTTTTCAAGCACATTTTAAGAAAAAATATAAGCACATGTCTAATTACATTATACACAACTGCATAACCTTAAAAATTAGACTTGTAATTTAAAATATGAGAAATGCAGTATCTTTCAAAAGAGAATAAGCATTACCTCAACAATGGAAAATAATTACTCTTTTTTTTTTTTTTTTTAAATTTTAAATAACAGTTCAATTTACAGAAGTAGTTTACAATGAGAGAAAAAAAAAACTATGCAGAACTAAACTATATTACAAGATTCAATGATGAAATTTCAGTTCAAAATATAGAAAAATAATTATAAGGCATATTTATTGTATTCGCTTTGAACCTAATAATAAATACAATTTATTTTTCCACTCATATTGATATTTAAATAATTTAAATCTAAATTCTGAACATTTTCTAAATTTTCATTGTATATCAGTTTTCCCTTACAGACATTGCAAGCAAAGTAATTTAAGTAAAAAAGAGGAACATTTCTGAAATCAGAAGACAGAAATTTTCTTCATGCAGTCATCCTTTAACAGCAAAAGCTTAACTAAACCGCATACTTGGATATTGGCGAATATTCGGAGAGTCGAGCGTAACTTGAAAAAGAGGAGTGGAGGGGGGGTAGACTGTAGCCACTCTTTAGATTTTTCCACTAAATAAGTGCTTTTGACACTTTGATATGTGCATTATATAAAAATAAACCAATGGAACTGAAAAACATTCTGCTTAGGACGCACAGTAAAACTCTTTTAAATGTTCACAAACAAATCTCAGACAGAACATCAAAATTAATTATCTCTGCAAAATATTGCAAACGTTATTGCGCAATACGTGCGCCGTAATTCTTCTCTATGTGGTATTATGCAATCAGAACCAAAAGCTGCCGGTATTGGGAGAATAAAGAAGTAAGTAACTGGGGTGTGTTTCATTCTAATTTTCAACACACGGCGCTAAATTTACGGAATAGAATCATTCTTCGCTTGGGTTGGTAGACCGCAGAACTTTTAGTCCTATTCAATCTAGATTGGTAAACGACAAAAAAAAAAAAAAAAAAAAAAAAAAAAAAAAAAAAAAAAAAAAGGTCCATTGCTTGTTTTGCAGCGAACTGTACCAGTATCAATATTCGAGATTTTGCGGAGAAATGAGAGAACCTCCCAATCTTCGTACTGTATAATGTATTGGCCAAAAAAATGAAATTATTTTGACTATTCGATTACTTTCCCTTTATTTATGCCATTCCGAATATTATTCCTTAGAAAGCTAATCTGTGTTAAAACACAACCATTTTTGGAAGTTTACTATACTTCAGCAGTTACTGCAATTATGTTATTATAAATATTCATACATATGCTCATAATATAAGCATAACGATCATAATAAACACGAATATGAACTGATCAAGCGGAACGAGAATGCAAATTATTGAGATCTTGATAGAAATTCAAATGTGTGTAGTATTTGGGTGGGAGGAAAAGAATGCCGAATGTACAGGAATTTTCTACTGCTTTCGCAATTCTTTGACCAATAGAACGACGGGCACCTACCTGTCTGTACTCTTCGTGCACACCAAAGGTTATGTTAATGCAGAGAAAGGGGAAAAAGCTATTTCCGGGAGTATCTCTGACATTCCATATTAGGAAGAAAAGTTGTTTATTTAGTTTCAGCTTTGGTACGAGGAAAAATAGCGCGTTCATTAAAAAAAAGCACTAAAAGCAAAAAATAAGCACTAAAAACAAAAAATAACGGCTTTAAAGAAAAAGTAAGCACTTATAAGGGCCTTTATATTTTATTTTCAAATATAAGGACTTATTAATAAATAAGGACCGCTACGAACCCTGTTGTATTAATCATTCTGCATTTATAAGAAACACTGTACTATTGATCCTTTGTTAGACCAGATTGCCTTTTTAGGGGCTTCAGATAGGCTATATTAATAAAAATGAGCACTACATTCAAAAGCTTCATAACTCAGAGCTCACAACCTTTAAATATAAAAATCGGGAGGTTCACCTACAAAAAATCGGAATTTCTGGAAGACATTCGTGGTGTGCAGTGGCATCATTTTTAACAGAATTCAAAATTGATTAAAATTCACTTTATAACACATTATACAGTTTATTGAACTATTTATAATAAGTTTCTGGTGTAAAATACATTAATATTTAATTACATATTCTAAATTTTAAGTTCTTTGGTTAACTTCATTTTGTAATTTTCTTAAGCTTTCATACTGAAAAAATTCTGAGTAAGGAACAAAAGCTTTAATTTATCAAAGTACATTTAAATATAACAAAAATAAAATTATTCATATTGAATGTTGTTTATGTTTCTTGCTCCAAAACAGACCTACTGACTTTACATATTAATGTAAAACAAAAGTAAATACAAATATTTAATAACTAAACATTTGGTTGAATCTCATATTAAGTCTCACAAATGTTAATGATAGAATTAAAAAAATTCAGATAAAAATTTAGTGTGAAAAAGTATGATAAATATCACAAGGAATGTTGGGATGAAGTTTGCATTTTATATGCACAATTTAATTTTATTCTTGAAAAACACTTTCACTAGTCAAAGCTAAAAATGAAAAAAACTAGTAGGTTTAATTATCTATTGTGAGATTAGAAGATGTGTCGAAAAGCTTGGAGAATCGGCATCTATGCTGATTGGATCTGGTTATTATGTTAAGAAATATGAATAATTGTAATTAATTAAAGACAAAATACAACTATTGTAAAAACTCATGCAGTCAACATTATTTACTATAAAACAAACGAGCATGGTAATGCTGACTTTCTATCACAATTACTAACAAATTCAGAACAACTGTCTATTCACGATGATGTGACTATTTTTCAATTACAGTAGGTTGAAACTTTTCTAGTCACTGCCAGAGATTTGGCTAAAGAAACTTAAATTGATGCAGAACTCAGTCCTCTGCTATGAATGCTTCAAAGCGGTGGTGAATTGAAAGAAAGACACATGGAGTACAGTCTCTAAGATGGCTGTATACTGTATGGTCAGTATGTTTGTATTCCATAATGATACTGTGAGAAATTTTTGAAAGAGTTGCACCACGGACACTTAGGGACTGTAAAGATGAAAGCAATTGCTAGATCTTACGTGTTTATAAATGGTATAGATAAGAATATTGGAAATACTTCCGAAAATTGTGCTGAATGTGCAAAACATAAAATAGATCCTCCGAATTTAAAGGTTCATTGGGAGTGCCCGTGTGGTCCAACGAATATATTCCCATTGATTAAGCAGAACCTATTTTTTCAGTATATGTTTTTGATAATCTTTGATGCTCATTCAAAATGGCCAGAAGCCTACCTATAAGATCCAGCTCAACTTTCAAAACAAGTAACGGGCAGGCTGAAAGCGTATGTGTTTACAGTAAAACAATGCTTAACACGTTCCCTGCCGCGTGGGGCGCACACACTAAACTTTCCGTTCAAGCCATTTGGTATTATCATTGTAAAATAAAGAATTTTTAAAAAATTCATTATGCAGTCAATTATGGGCATCTTAATACTACTGCTGATGCCCTCATTTAATCGTGGGGCGTATACGCCCCATGCGGCGTGATGGGCAATTTTTTTCCTCCGTAACTTGTTTCAACTGCATTCCTTGTATTTCGATCAGTCATTTATTCGTGTGTCGTTGATATACTACTTACTGCTTCACTGAAGCTGGGATGGATTTATAGTTCAGTGTGTTAGACGAAGGAAATATGGTATGTACATATTATTTCAGTGTTATAAATTCGGATATTTTGCATTTAAAAATGGTTGCAATTTTTCCTGTCTTTTCTTCTTCAGACCTTTTCCAAATTTTACAATAATTACTCCTTATAAGAAGATATGGCATCACACAGTAACAGTTTTTCTAGTGATGATTCTGATGACGAGGAAGGCCACTTTAATTCGATAAGAAGGCACTGTAAAATTTGTTACGAAAGAAATGTTAAAAATTTGGGTTCCCAATCGGCAAGAAACTGTACTGTAAAAGTTACAACATTCTGCGATAGTTGTGTGGATAAACCACACTTATGTTTGCCATGTTTTAATAAAGTTCATCGTAACATCCCTTTGTAATTGCATACAAACTTGAATTTAACTAAAATGTTATATTTAAAACTGATATACGTACGATAAAAAAAATTATATGTGAAGATGCAACTTGCTTGGCATAGTAATGTTCAGCCAGGTATTTGTTAAACTAATTTCTAGAAAAATAAATTTATTGTTTTGTTGTGTTATGCATGTTAAACTATACATAATACAAATGTAAAGAGTGAGGCGCATACGCCCCTCGCGGCCTGAACGGGAAGTCTTCAAAAAACGGTCTGGCAGGAAACGTGTTAAGAACTATGCAAAATTATTTAGGAAATTTGAGACAAAAACTCGGTGCATTTTTAATGCAATATAGAAAAGCTCCATACTTAACTACTCTACAGAACTCTGCAATGCTAATGCTAAAGAGGGAAACTGGAACAAGAATGTATTCGAGACCAGATCTGAAAAGGAAGGCGGAAGATAGAGTTCGAAAAGGAACCTACGAGTATGGAAATTGAGGATTTGGGGTTGGTGACAAAATGGCAGTAATAAATCATCGCCGAGGTGATAGGCGATGGAGATTTGGAACAGTCCAATCCAAGGATGGACATCTTCATTACACTATAAATGTAGATGGCCAGCTATGGCGACAACATGTCAACCAGATGTGTGTTGGAACTATAATTCCAGTGGAGTGGAGTTCTAGAACCATCCAAAGATAATAGCCACCTGATAGATGTCTGTGTTGTCTTCTGAGCCCAAGGTTTTACCTGACATTTCATCCACCAGACCTGTCACTGATACAACTAGGTTACCAAAGAAACTACCTGTGTAACAACCTTGACATCCGGGGTCCAGTAGAATTCGATGTCCCCCAGATAGACTGAACTTGTGCTAAAGGGGGAGGGATGTGGTGCCTCAAGAACTTAATTGTAATTGAACTTAGAGCTGACATGTACCAAGCACTGCGTAGCACGCGAAGCGATTGAGAACGTGGACAGCCTGCAAGTGCCAATCGTTGGAGTTGTATGTGTGTATTTGTAAGCTTTTATGTAGAGTGTAATGTGTCTAGTACATAATAAAGTGTCATGTGGATTAATACAGCGTCCTGTGTAATAAATAGCCACTAAAGATGTAACATTCTTTACTTTAGGTGCAGTATATACAGGAGATGAAATTTTGTTTCGAAATTAATAAATGTACCATGCAAATTTTTATACCAAGTATAAAATTTATAAACACAAGAAAATATGAAGACATATGAAAAAATCAAATACCTCCATATCCAGTTACACAGCAGTAAATAACCCATGCAACACTAATACTGAAAGCACTTCGAGATAAAGCATTATAAAAGTGGAACAAAATGCTGTTTTGTGGTACATGGTATAAGCCATAAATAACACACAATGCACAAGAAGTAGCAAGACACCAACCTAAAATTTGTACCCCCTGTAAATAAAGCAATCCCTTATTAGTATAAATATTAAAATCATCAAAGGAAGCAGTTAAATTTACATACAATATTTTTAAAACTTTTTCCTATTTCTTTTTTTAATCCCTTTTATAAATGAACTAATATTCAAATAAAAAATTGTAAACATAAGTAACTGAAGTAGCTTTCTCACCAGTTTTATACATTTTCCTTTCTCCCCTTTCTGATATAAGATGTAAGCTAAAAATACACCAATGAAATAAGGTCCAATCCTGCAGTATGGCTTGCTGTAAATAAGATTCCATCCTAGTACAAGTCTGAAAATTTTGTATGAATTCATTACTTTTTTGCAAAATATTGTTTATACCAAATATATACATATACATATATAAAACAGAAAACTCTTTGAATCATACATGAAATGTCAGAAAACTTTTTTATCACAATTTAATACATGGTACAATACAGTTACAATACATGATACAATAAAATTTGATACACTTTACATGGACAATTTGATAGATATTTTCTATCATGTTAAATGCATTTATTATTAAAATTTCCAAAATAACAGTAGATGTGCACTTTGCACATTGAACTTAATTCTGAATTACGTTTATAAAGCTAAAAGAGTATTTATTAACTATTTATTTTTATTTACTTATTTTATATATGATTAAATTAAAGCTACATAAGGAAAAAAAACTAAGTGTTGATAGGAAGTGCATTCTGTAACTTTATAACAGCAAAAACATTTCTCTTTTGCTCATAGATTAAGCATGCAAATTTTTAAAATGACAAGATAAGCATATCAACTTATGTATATATATGTATATATAATGGTGAAATGTGATAAAAAGAATATTATTCACATTAAGAGGAATTGTTATGTAGTGACTTCAAGAAAAATTACTAACTATTTTGTGGATATCATGAAAGGGTACGAGTGCTGGTAAGAAGTTTGTGAATAAAGGGATCCTTTCATCTTCTGCATCTATTGCAGAGAGGGAGAATGCCTCCCATTCCCTTAATGAGCATAGCAAGCCATGGAGGCTACTTGGTGAAGAATATTGCTTTGAAAGAAAATGTTTGTGCTTGATTATCAAAATAGCCAGAGGAACAAAAATTAGGGAAAGTTTAAAATATTTTAAATAAATCTGTTGTAAGAAGCTTGGGATAGTGTAGCTTTGCAAAAATATGTAACATGCACATTGCATTTTATTGTTTAAATGGTCCTTCAATTGTAAAAGAAACAAAAGATAGATTGCTTTTTCTTGACAGATTGAAAAATATGCCAGTTGCCTTTTTGGGGGGGGGGGTGAAATAGGAAAGGCGTATGTGGTGCATAATTTTAAATGGCTGCATGGCTATAAATGGTTTGAGAAAAGTTGTGGGGTGACTGAGACTAACCAATTAATTTCAAGTGTGGCACAGTTGCTTCAGAAGATGATTTTAAGTTAATATTAGGCCAGGAGTTAAATAGACAAGATATTGTTGAAAGGGGGGCTTTCTGCTTTTTATTTGTATGAGGCAAGAAAATAATGGTATGGAGTGATAAAAAGAGTCAGAAAAGCAGGAAGGAGGAACTCTAGCAGGTGTTCCCCTGAGTTGAACAATATGGAGAAGAGGGGAAAAAAAAAGAGAGAACAGAAAAAAGTAAAGATATAATTTTGTATGATAACTAATAGAAAGGTACATTGGAATGAAAGACTGAGACCAGACTAACCTGATATTTCGCAAGAATGCAAGACTTGCCAGACAATTTTTGGATATAACATAGATTCTCAACTGATTTATAATGGTTCCTGTCTGATGGTCATGAAGTGCTCCGATTTTACATTTAAGAAATTGGCTGAGTAACAAAGTTTCCTGTCCTGCAAGAATGATGTCTCAGTTTTACAGACATTTACAGATTGACTGAGTAGAAAAGGCTGACAGATAAAGGTCCTTGTATGATGGAGATTAAGTGATATCAGATTACTGACATCTGAAGGGAGACTGTTTCCAGAGAGTCCCTGTGATCCGAAATTCGGCTTTTGATTGGGATGTGATAAGCAATGTCTATTGTAGAAATTCCTATCAACAATATCTTCTTTCCAATTCATGAAGTCCCATCAGGATTCAGGCTCTGTGACTATTTGTGACAAAACGTGAAATGACCATGGGTAAGGTTCAGGCCTACAGCATGATATATTAAGGGTGTTCAGGACTGATACTTAGCATGTTGGAGAAAATGATTTTTGATTTTCTGGGATTCCAAAATCTGTTCGTGTAAGTACTCTTTCACTCCTCCTTGTATGTAATGATGATTATGTAAAACTAAGTATTAATATGTTAATATTTAGTAAGTAGTTCCAAGGTTAGGATAAAGTCCATTATTTATAAACTTACTGTGAAATATGTATGTTGATATGGAACTTGGGGAAACCTTAAAATTGAATTATGGAAATATATATGTACGTTTTTATGTCTACCATGTTACAGCTGAAACATTCCTTAACCTGGGTTAATTATTTTTGGTTGTACTTAACTGGTAGTACTGGTTTGGTAGTAATATTAAAATTTTATATTATCAACTTTTGTACATGATTATTCGGAGAACTCATTATTCTTCAATACAACAAAATCAATGTACGTATTCTAAATTATGAAAATAAGCCATATTCTTCAGATATTAATTGGAGAAAGAGATTGCAGTTAAAAAAATGAGAAATAGATGCACAATACTATTTATAATAAAAAGAAAGAAAATATAAATTTAAAGTTACATATTGAAGCAAAAACGAGTAGAAAAGAATAGAATAGCAAATTAAGATGTTCGAGGAGTGAAGAATACAGCTGCATTTGTCTTGAAAAAATATACAGTGTTATTATTAAATTTAAGTTGATGCAGGTAGCATTGCTATTATGAACAAAATTTATTTTTATTTGATAACATGACTATTTGTGCTTTGTAATGTGAGTAGATGATTTGTCTTTCGCTATTATTTGCAATGTACCTTCTTTGCTCAAGAAAAAACTTCTTTTTGTCTGTTGAGCCAGAGAATCTATGGATTTTATGCAAACAATTAATTATTAATGTTGAATTTTGATTTTGTATGCTACAACACTACAAATGCCCCATAAGCTTTTTTTTTTTTTCCCCTCCTTTTTGGATAAAAATACATACATTTGGTATGAGAGATAATTAAACGACAATCAGTCAGGAAATGTCAGGAATTACTTACTTTTTTAAATGAACATGTTAGAGTACTTCCCAACAGGAAAACCACTTTTAAGGAATAGAAGATAAATTCTAAAGTCACACTATTGGTGTTAAAAACTACTACAAATTATCCTTATTGTAAGAAAAATCATTACTTACATAAGTGGGATCAATTCAGTATATTGCCTGTTTACAACAGATTTGATTTTTGTGAAATTTAATAAACTTTATTTAACTCTTTATCTAATGTATGTATTTTTAAGCTTGTAAAAACTTGAGTAGATGCAAAACATGTCATAATAATCACCATTAAATATTGCATTTTATGAAACCTTGAGGTGCTGTCCTGCCTACTATTAATAATAATGAAAATATTTTTCAGTCCGTGGAAAAGTGTTTACTCCTTGAAACATGACATTAAATACTATCCCAGGTAATATTTCTATCCCAGGTAAAATTAGTGTCATTGATATGCACAAAAACAAGATTTGCATCATTTAAAGTGCAGTCCTTACCAAGACTAGAATATACACACCCTTCTATAGCTATTTTAAAAGCAAGCACTTTAACATTTTAGTACCTACTCACATATTTACAAACTATATAGCATTCACAGGTATTGCTTGAATAATTTTCCTTTGTAACAAATAATAATAACAATACTTGAAACACAGTTTTACGGACATTTTTCATCTTTTTCTCTGTCGCGTATATTTAAAGTGTGATTACAAAATATACAACTCCTTTCTAATTTTTAGACCGGAGCTATACAAATTACTGAAAAATGGGAAATGAAAGCAAAAATATTCATGGCTTATTTTTCAATAAGGTACAGCTGCATGCATAAAATGTTTGACTTTCAAACTTACAGCAATTTACAAATGATAGAATAGTACTTTTATCTACACATCTACAAGCACTAGAATTTTGCATTTTATGTATATCCTACTGCCATTTGATACTGCTCTGTTCTTTTACAGAAAATGCCTAGAATAACCAAAATCATTGCCTGAAGACACATTCATATATAAACAGTGTTCTTCTTTAATGAAAATAACAATATTAAACATTAAAATATAAATAATTAAAATTGCTGGTACTTTGGTATTATCACAACCACCTTGATGCAATTTAGCAATTTTTGGAAGAAAAAGAATGGCAATTTTAAATCGGAGAAAGTTATTTATTTCAAATCATACATGTTATTAGGTACATATTTTAATTTTAGTTTGATATTTATCCCAGAAAACAATTTATAAAACTACTTTATCTCATTATTATAATTCCAGTCTACTGCAGTCTTAGAGGCCATTTTTAACTCTTCCAAGCAATTTAATTTTTTTGCAGTATATAATGTAAGTATATAATGTCAGGTTAATTTTTTTACTCCAGCAGTATATAAATCTGACTGCTGTAATAACTGGCAGATGGCTATTCTTGAACCAATTACCACTTCGAATGCTGATGTGTTCATTACAGTTATTCCCGATGAATTTCAAAAAAGGTTGTTTCAAAATACATCATCATCAAACGCAAATCTGAACATTCCTGCCTTTGTGGCAAAATATATTCCTGAAAAAATTTCATTGAAATTTCTTCCCAAAAGTGCATATTTCGAAATTCAGCTGAAGACCAAAAATATCGCAACTTGGCTTTAGAGATTCTATTGCAATCAAAACAGCATCTACAAAAATGGTGACATTACTTATTCAAGCTTATAGTTATTGATATGGTTACCTGAAAAATTACTATGCACAGTGGTTGCCACAGTTTGTCAACTTCTACCAAGGTAGTTGCAATAACACCAAAGTACCAAATTTTTCAGTTTCATATTAAAATGGATATAAAAACAAGAAATTGATAAAGTTTACCGAAAAAAAATTTGCCTAATAATTAGATTGATGAAAAGAATGGAGGAAAAATATAGCATGTTTGAAAATTGAAGAAAGCAGTTATTTTGAGTTTGAAGTGAAGGGGGGGGGGGAAATCAGCTAAGGAAAATGTGTAATCATACTAAAAATTCCAGCTTTATGGAAAGATTTGTGAAACACTACAAAATTTAATATAACAAATACTATACTTAATAGACAACAATATTTTACAATATTTTTACTTCATTTAAGAAAAAATTCAGAGAAAGGAATATCTACTAAAATTTTTACATATGAAAGCACATAATTATTTATAAATATATTTGATAATATAAGAACATAATTCTTTGTTAAAAATAATGCTATATTAAACACACACTTTATAAAACACACTAACTTTTCTTTGTAGTCCACATAATTTGTTGCATTTGATATGCCATAAAATAAAGGTAAAATACTATAGTGATAGCTAATGTACCAAGTTAATGACCAACTTCCAACCAGCAAGGAAAAAAATATGCTTATGCCAAGATAATTCCACCTAAAAAGTGTGTAAAAAATACATAAATTTTAAGAAGATGCAAATATTATCAAAAGTGCATGAAATGGTTTAACACAAATTGATTAAACTTTAATTTCTGTATGCATTTCAAACTACATGAGACCTACATATTACAGTTATGTTATGTACTGCAAATATGATGTATTAGCAATGACATTATAAGCAATATTCTAAAGGAAAAATTTCTCTTATAGATTTATGAGAAAAAATAAAAAGAGAAAGTTTCCTAAATTTGGCTCAATGCAAAGCAATAAATCAAAATTTACACTTACAGTGTCTCACAAAAGTCATGGGACACTTGTGCTTTACAAAAGGAAACTGCAATAAAATAAATTAAAAAAACATGTAAAATTTGTTGTGGGTGTGTTTCATACTTAAATTTAGTAACAATTATTACATAACATACATTTTCTCAAAATATTAAAATATTAATTTAATAAAAATACAATTGTTTTGAACGGAGCAAAAAATGGCTCACATAAGTGATGGGACACTTACTTTTCCATCAAATATCTATCCAAAAATTTTACTTTTTAAAAGGTTTTAATATTTTGTTGAATTTCCTTTTACTTTTAAAACATGATTTAATCTTCTTGGATTAGATTCGACTAATTTTTTTGTGATTTCTGGAGTGATTTTACCCCATTCTTCTTGAAGCACCGATTTTAATTGTTGTTTGAAGAAATGGTGTGTTTGCGAATTCTTGATTCCAATTCTTTGCCAAATATTCTTCTATGTGGATTTAAGTCTGGAGATTGTGGTGGTGTTTTTATTATTTCCAGGAGAGTTATACAGCAGCCAGAGTCTAACGTTCAAAGCACTGTGCTTGAGAGTCATTGTCCCTGGTAGAATTTAAAATCGTTATGATGGGTTCAATTTTCGTGCTGAAGATTTCAAATATTGATTTAAAATGTCAATATACTTGTACTGATCCATTATACTGTCAATAAAAACAAGATTACCAACTCCAGTGGACGACATACACCCCCATACCATAACTCCTCCTCCACTATGTTTTACTATGGGCACTATGTTTTACTATTCTGTTTGCGAAATTCTTCCCTGGGTTTTCTCCACACCAAGATTCTACCGTCAGAACCAAATATAATAAATTTACTCTCATCAGTAAATATAACTTCATTCCAGTAATCAGAATTCTTATTTTTATGTTGGATTTTGCGAAAGCCAGTCTGAGTTTTCTATTCTTTTCACTTATGAAGAATTTTTTCTGGCTGCTCTACTGTGATATCCAGTAGATTGAATTACTCTTCTAATAGTCTCAGAATTAACAATTACTCCATATAATGCTTGTAAATCAGCAGCAACTTTAGAAGCACTCATTCTTGGATTTTTTTAAATATTTCGAACGATAATTCACTTTATTCCATTGGATAACTTTGATGGTCGGCTAGGTCTTCTTTTATCCTGAATCATATGATTCTTTTTATATCGTTTAATGATATTGAAAACTGTTGAATGACTGAAGTTAACTGTTTCAGCAGTTTCTCTAATAGATTTTCCACGTTCAATATGCAAATTAATAACTAATTTTCGTACTCCAGGCAAAGTTTCTTTTCGTTTAGCATTCATGGCTGCACAGAGCTAAAAACCAAAAAATTCCAAAACAAACTGGAGAGAAATACTGCAGACGATTTTATAAATTATTGGCAATTGCTTTTGAGTAAAAATAAATACGCCAAAAGATATTTTTATTGCTTACTTCAGACGATTTTTGTTGCATAGTACGTAGTGTCCCATCACTTATGTGAGCCATTTTTTGCTCCGTTCTAAAACAATTGTATTTTTATTAAATTTAATATTTTAATATTTTTGAGAAAATGTATGTTATTGTAATAATTGTTACTAATTAAGTATGAAACACACCCACAAAAAATTTTTACATGTTTTTTAATTAATTTTATTACAATTCTTTTGTAAAGCACAAGTGTCCCATCACTTTTGTGAGACACTGTATATGGATCAGTAACATTTACAATCAGGTAAAAGTTCATCTGCACAAAATTAAAAATTTTATATTGCAAACTTGCATAATAAAATTTAATAATAAATTACAATTAATAATAAAGTAATTTAATAATAAAGTACCAAGTTACATTATTATTAAATTTCAAGCAACATAGTTTGTCTCTCTAAGAATATGTTTCATTTAAAGACAATGATAACTTCTCAAAACAACATAATTGCAAAAGATTATAAGTAAAAGTACCATTAAAAATTGCTACACTATGAAACAAATGCATAACAAACTTGAATGAAAGATAAAATATGCTAGGATATGCAAATCATTAGCAATTCACAGTACACATGCATTACTGCAAAAGTAATGACACCTCAAAATTACATGAAAAAGCATACTGAAATGTCAGTATTTCATTCAGAAATTGCATTAGTTCATCATTTTTCGCATTGAAGGTCATGTTATGGTTCATGTACAAAGAAAGAACTTATACCAGCATACCTCAGAAATCAGTCATGGTAGAATCATGCTTACTGAGACTACAAATTATCATATCATGCAAATAATGCTTGCATTGACAGAGATCCAATGACTGAAGGAATAGAGTTTGCCCAATTTAAGTTTCATTCATTCAAATTTTTATTATTGCTGGGAAAGATTTTCCTTAATAAAGACTAAAAATTAAAAACTGGGAGGTTCAGTGATTTATGGGAACACGGGGCGATGAGATGAAAAATCGGGAGAGTTGGCAGCTATGTCTCATACTCAGTAATTTAACCAACCATGATCCATACATTCGGATCTCCATTGCCTCATCTGTCAACAGCAGGGCTGTGGAGTCGGTAGGGAAAATAACCGACTCCGACTCCTGGAATTTTAAAGACTCTCTCAGATATATATATATATATATATATGTATGTATGTATATATAAACATATACGTATGGGTTACAGCTTATTTTTTTAATATAAAAGAATAGATGCTACAGAAAAAAAATGATGGCATAGCAAATTGTTTATATTAATTAGCATTTATTATAAAATGGGAAAACTGACATTAATTATTTCTAAGAAACAGTCTAGCTTCGGCAAGATCTTCTTTGTTGGAGGGCCATAGATCCGATTCGATAAACTTCAGAGCTGAGAAGAGTCTTTCCACACTAACTTGAGTAGAGGGAAGAGCTGTTACTGTTAGGGCTACTTCTTTTCAAGATAGATTTTTATAAGTTCTAAAAGAGGTGTCTTGAAAGCGCAATCATATTTCTCTATTTCTTCAAAGGCCATGTAGAAATTTTGTTTCTATTTTTCATTTTTATGTCTAACGGCTCTTGGTTATTTATTTTCATTCACTTTTAGCCTTTTTAATATTATCCAAAAATATTTCTCAAAATCTAATTCATCACTGGAAGAGGAAGATAGAGACTCAATCACAATGTCTGCAGTTTGACTGTTTTGATTCCAATTCCCCAATTGTTCCAAGAATAATTTCATTCTTAATGAAAGTTCATAGATGGTTTTCTTTACCTTTTTAATTTGTTCATCATCCAAGAAAATTCAGGTGTTTTGGATCTCCGTATATTGAACCCAGCAAGGTCTCATTGTCTAGCAAACTAGTTTCTCTTTTCTTCATTGAAGAAATGATTCCTTCTGCAATAAACTCTCCATTTCAGAAAGAACAAACATCAACATTCTTCCATTCTTGCCATTCTCACCTGCCTGTCAATTCTTCAGATTGCAGCTTTTTTGTGGCTATATACGGTGTAGAAAGAAGAGTTTCCCAATTCTGCAAGATTCATTTCCCACAGTCTTTCTGTCAGTGGAAACATTAGGGTTATCTACATCTCCTCTAAAAAGTTCTTAATTCTAACAACCTCTTTATCATCAAATATGTACTTCCTTATCATGCGTTGCTTGATCAATAATTGCTCCTTTTCCTGCTCGCTTCCTAAGAATGGCATCAATTTTGGGAGTTCGTGCTGCTATTGCTGCTTACATAAATTTAACAGTGAGAATTGGTAACTAAATGAATCAGTTTAATCACTAATGGCAAATATCATCCATCCTCCTCCCTTATATTTATTTATTAATATGGCAATAAAATAGAAAATAACTATTTATTAATGTATATAGTTCATAAATAAAAATAATAACTTCGCTTGTCATTAATTTTTTTTCAATTCAGTTTAATTTCATTTCAAATTCAAACTGTCCAACAAAAACTGGACTCGGAGTCGACCTGTTTTTAATGACTGGAGCTCCGACTCCTTTTACCCCAAATTCTGCCAGACTTCATGACTCCGACTCCGATTCTACAGCCCTGGTCAACAGGACAGTGCAAGACTGCATTTCTAAAATTTCTCAATACACAAGGCGTTCAACTCTTGGCTTGCTAGCTCTCCAGATCTCTCACAAACTGTATATATGTCAGGACCAGATTTAGATTTGATGAGATTGTAAGCTATTTGAGATATGGGGCCCTTTATGATGGATATGAGACATTTTTTTTTTTTTCCCCTTAATACGAGGTGTAGTACAATTTTTGAAGGTGGCCCTAAGAAAGTGGGGGCCCTAAGCTATAGCTTGTAAATAAATCCAGCACTGATATATGTGATTAATGATTGCAGAGAGAATGACATGATCACAGCAAACAGCCAGCATGGCAGATCAACTTAGGCATAGAATAAAAGCTATATGAACCGCAATATCCTAACACATCATTCACTCTATGACCATAACAACCACCTGCATACTAGTTGCTTCTGTTGCCAGAGGTAGATGCTCCAGGTAATTTTAATCATTTCATTTTTCCTTAATGGTGTAGCAAATTTAAGGCCAATAATATATTTTCTAAATTTCTTCCAAACAAAAAATGATATACTTATAGTCACAAAAAATTTCAATCACACAATAAGATGTTTTTATTCGGTGATGAAATCAGAAAATTGTAATCGTCCTCCAAGTCAAAAAGATTCATCATCTGGAAAAGGATAAAAGAAAAATAT